AAGGACCTTGTGAAGATGCTGGAGGAAACAAGTACAAAAGTATCTATATCCACAGTAACACGAGTCCTATATCGCCATAACCTGAAAGGCCGCTCAGCAAGGAAGAAGCCACTGCTCCAAAACCACCATAAAAAAGCCAGACTACGGTTTGCAACAGCACATGGGGACAAAGATCGAACTTTTTGGAGAAATGTCCTCTGGTCTGATGAAACAAAAATAGAACTGTTTGGCCATAATGACCATTGTTATGTTTGGAGGAAAAAGGGGGTTGCTTGCAAGCTGAAGAACTCCGTCCCAACCGTTAAGCACGGGGTGGCAGCATCATGCTGTGGGGGTGCTTTGCTGCAGGAGGGACTGGTGCACTTCACAAAATAGATGGCATCATGAGGAAGGAAAATGATGTGGATATATTGAAGCAACATCTCAAGACATCAGTCAGGAAGTTAAAGCTTGGTCGCAAATGGGTCTTCCAAATGGACAATGACCCCAAGCATACTTCCAAAGTTGTGGCAAAATGGCCTAAGGACAACAAAGTCAAGGTATTGGAGTGGCCATCACAAAGCCCTGACCTCAATCCTGTAGAAAATGTGTGGGCAGAACTGAAAAAGGGTGTGCGAGCAAAGAGGCCTACAAACCTGACTCAGTTACACCAGCTCTGTTAGGAGGAATGGGCCAGAATTCACCCAACTTATTGTGGGAAGCTTGTGGAAGGCTACCCGAAACGTTTGACCCAAGTGAAACAATTTAATGGCAATGCTAACAAATACTAATTGAGTGTATGTAAACTTCTGACCCACTGGGAATGTGATGAAAGAAATAAAAGCTGAAATAAATCATTCTCTCTACTATTATTCTGACATTTCACATTCTTAAAATAAAGTGGTGATCCTAACTGACCTAAGACAGGGAATTTTTACTAGGATTACATTTCAGGAATTGTGAAAAACTGAGTTTAAATGTATTTGGCTAAGGTGTATGTAAACTTCCAACTTCAACTGTATATGGATTTTTCAGGGGGTGCTGCAGCACACTCAACAACCCTCTTCCCGCAGCCTTCCTGTATGTCATTTCAATCCAAACAAATTCTCTCTAGTGGCGCGCTGTTGAGTTTTGGCCACATTATAATTTTGGGGAGACTTCAGCAAACCATCCTAAAATCTCATAAGAAATGTTTAAGGTGTTGTTTTTGGTTATACTATGCTATTATATTTGGTTCTGTTATGTAGAATATTAATGAATCATCATTACTTTACTAAATGAGCACCTTTGTGAGAAGTGAGGGAGCGCTCCAGCAGCACTATGCCCCTGCTCCCGCTGCACCGAACTAGCTAATTGAAGTGCACGTAGCCTATTGAAGTGCAAAAGTTGGTGATGCAGAAACGAGAGACCACATGTGTGGCTGTTTTATGAAAATCTGGGAATATTTGGCCAAGGAATCATTTCTGGTTGGTCTCAGGGAAGGTAAAACATTTAGGAAGGGAAGAGAGACTTTCAAAAATTGATTGAGTGAAGTAACAGCAAATATAGTGTTGAATGAGCAACTCATGAGCATGGAGAGCCTTACAATTTTTCAGTCTAATAAGGCTATTTAGTTACTTTTCTAGCTCTTCGCCAGAAGCATGCTTTTTGTAAGTAGTTAAGCCTAACTGGCCTCTAGCTGGAATTTAGCTCGAAAGGACTTGAGAAATATGGTTGGTTGATGATAGGCCTATGACATTGACCTACGTCTCGTCTTGCGCTGCGCAGAATATCAGATCTCAACAGCGATTGGAGAAGTGTTTATCACCAGTACCACATCCTTATGATATATTATGTATATTTTATAAGTGCAACGTGACTGCAAGAGACATGTTGGAATGTCTGACTGAAATCCGGAACAAATACAACCTTTCTTTCTAAATGAGTGGTGTTTGAATTTGTTGATAAAATGCAGGACATACAGTGCATTCGGAAAGTATTCAGACCCCAGGACTTTTTCCACATTTTGTTACGTTAGAGCCTTATTCTAAAATGGATGAAATAAAAAATGTTCCTCATCAATCTACACACAATACCCCATTATGACAAAGCGATAAACAGGTTTGTAGACATTTTTGCAAATTTCTAAAAAAATTTAACAGAAATACCTTATTTCCAAAAGTATTCAGACCCTTTACTATGAGACTTGAAATTGAGCTCAGGTGCATTCTGTTTCCATTGATCATCCTTGAGATGTTTCTACAACTTGATTGGAGTACCTGTGGTAAATTAAATTGATTGGACATGTAATTGGTCCTCTGTAGCTCAGCTGGTAGAGCACGGCGCTTGTAACGCCAAGGTAGTGGGTTCGATCCCTGGGACCACCCATACATAAAAAAAAAAAAATGTATGCACGCATGACTGTAAGTCGCTTTGGATAAAAGCGTCTGCTAAATGGCATATTATATTATTATTATATTATAATTGACTGTCTTTATAAAGTCCCACAGTTGACAGTGCATGTCAGAGCAAAAACCAAGCCATGAGATTGAAGGAATTGTCATTGGAGCTCCGATACAGGATTTTGTCGAGGCACAGATATGGGGAAGGGTACCAAAACAATTCTGCAGCATTGAAGGTCCCCAAGAACACAGTGGCCTCCATCATTCTTCAATGGAAGAAGTTTGGAACCACCAAGACTCTTCCTAGAGCTGGCCGCCCGGCCAAACTGAGCAATCGGAGCTACACTTTGACTAACCTGTAAGTAACCTGAGGTCACCCTCACAGGTTCTGTCACTCTTCACATCTCCTGCTGGGCTTGCCCCAGTCTGTAATCAATGCCAACCACCCACAGTTAATATCAGTCAGCCTGACTATATAAAGAAATATGTAGGATGTGACCTGCAGGTCTTTTTGCCACATTAAACGTAAAAAGAGGCCAATTATGCATTGGAAAGATCTAAAGGCAAGTCTGTTTGTGACAGCCCTTTCACAGACTTTCTTTCACAACCAGACAACCAACCATTCCACAACTGGAGTATCCCCAGCATCATTCAGGCTTAGATAACATTCCAGTTAGTCAAAGGGTCTCTTTGGTATGCAAGCTGCATCTGCTGACTGTCTAAGGCGAACAGTATAAATGGAAACTGATCACTCCACAGCCCCAACACCCCGCCAGTCATACAGGAAGGATACTACCCTTGTCGCTGTAGCTTAATCAGAATGACCAGCCAGCTGGTCAGGCCCCAGAACTACAACCACCACTGGCTACTTTGTCTCCTCACCCTTTTAAGGACACACTCGTGTGTAAAATGCAGTAAAATAGTTTTACTCAACCATCCATTTCACATATGGGAGACCTTAAAGATATGGAAAAACATGGTTGTGTTTTGTTATACCTCGGGGACCTTGCCACTAGCCTATTTCTCTCTATGGTGTATAATGTGTTGTGAGGCAGAGAGGCACAGAGTGACCCAAGATTATCTGATTGTCCCCAGTGGAAAACAGGTCTAATTTGGATGAAAACAACATGGCTGACATCAGCTAGCAACCTGCCCATAGTTATTGCAGATAACCGCACAATAGACTCACTCTGAATGTGCTTTACAACCATCTGTAATTGACTGAATTTGGGTCTGTCAATGAAAAAATATTTATTCAACTGCTGGCTGTCCTCCAAAAGTAGCTTGATATCTCTTACACATCAAGGGCAGCAGGTAGCCTAGTGGTTAGAGCATTGGGAAAAATCTGTCAAAATGCCCTTGAGCAAGGCACTTAACCGTAATTGCTCCAGGGTCACCGTTGATAATGGCAGACCCTTGCTGTGATCTCCGAGGGTGTCTCAGGGGGAGTGGGATATGCAAAAAACACATTTACAATTCACATATACGTATTAATATACACGTGCTTGCCTATGGAGCAGTGAGGGGAACGGCACCTCTGTACCTTCAGGCTCTGATCAGTCCCTACACCCAAACGAGGGCATTGCGTTCATCCACCTCTGGCCTGCTGGCTCCCCTTCCTCTGCGGAAGCATAGTTCCCGCTCAGCCCAGTCAAAACTGTTCGCTGCTCTGGCACCCCAATGGTGGAACAAGCTCCCTCACGACGCCAGGACAGCGGAGTCACTCACCACCTTCCGGAGACATTTGAAACCCCACCTCTTTAAGGAATACCTGGGATAGGATAAAGTAATCCTTCTACCCCCCCCCCCAAATTGTAAAGTGGTTATCCCACTGGCTATAGGGTGAACGCACCAATTTGTGAGTCGCTCTGGCTAAGAGCGTCTGCTAAATGACGTTAATGTGCCCTTGAGCAAGGCACTTAACCCTAATTGCTCCTGTAAGTCGCTCTGGATAAGAGCGTCTGCTAAATGACTAAAATGTAAATGTAAAATGTTGTACATGTGTGAAATAGGACAAATATACTATAAGCACAGTCTTAATAAAAGGGAAAAGGGAATTAGATATGTATTGCTATCTCAACAGACATCTTTTATATGCTATGATTTATTGGTAATTTGATCTTCCATGTCCTCATTTCCTTCAGAAACAATACAGTAAATGCATTTGGAAATGACTGTGTAACTCCTTGTAATGACCGGTAAACAGATCATTACACTCTGGTACACAACAGATGATGTCATAGTTTACATGATGGCTGTCAAAAGATAGGCGTGAGATCCCTTATCACTGTGATGATATCCACTTGGACACTATCACTGGCCAGGCAGTCTTTGCAGACACAAACAAAAGCTATCAATCACCCACCTGGCAGGCTATTCATTTCCAGGTCAATTATAGGATTGTCTCTCTAGTCTCCACAAGCTTCTTTCACTTCTCCATTCCTTTATGGTAATCACTGATCTATGAGTGATTGGACAGATGAACGCATGGCTACCAACCCATTGCTTTCACCAATCCAACCTTGACATATCTGGGATAACCTCATGGAAGAAGGAAATGAGGGGATGTGTTTTGTGAATAATAGTATTATATAGTTATAGTTGTAGTTTTTTAATAGTTTTAATATCAGAACTGGGCTCATGCATCGTTTTCCCACAGGTGAAGCCATAGAGCAGACTAAGACAGAGGAAGAGGTCCCAGAGGAGAAGACAGACATCCAGATACTTCAGACAGACACCCAGACATACGCCACAACAGTGTTGGAGGACCAGGACCAGGGAGAGCCAGAGGCCACAGAGTCAACCCCAGAGGACGGAGCCCTGACTGAGGACACAGCCGGCCAGGAGCCTGACACAGTGGACACCACCTCCGCCCCTGGGGAAGAGGGAGCCGAGAGCCTCACTGAGGAAGTCGAGGAAGTGGACCCAACCCAACCTGCATCCACTGAGGCTAGCCCAGAGGAACCAACAGCAGGGGCTGAGGGTGAGGCCTCAGAGGGGGCAGCCACACAGAGCACTGACGGGGAGGAAGAGCAGGCTGAGGGGGATGTGACCCGGTCAGTCGGCCGCACTAGGGTGCTGGTCACTGAGATGGAGGACACCACCGGGTCTGGGATGCTACCGACTGGCGCTGAGGAGGAGGGGGCCTCTTCTATGGCACCATCTGTTGTACAGCCAGGAGAACCACAGGGCCCAGCCAGCAAAGAGGGTGTGCAGGAGATAGTGCCAGAGCAGGAGGAGGTGGTGGACGGGATAGAAGGTAAGGAAATACTCTGTTTGTTACGTACATAATATGACATACAGAATACTGTTTTTTGCTTTGCTTTGTCATTCAGTTTGGTATCATGAACATAGTTATGATTAAAATGTATTTAATTTAAATACACTTTAAAATACATACATCTCATGTAAATCATCTTTCATGTCAGAACAGAGAAACATAAAAGGTACAAAACACGTGCTTGGCATTACCCTGCAACAATAATACTTTTCATAGAGGATTGCAGTGACAGGATGAATCACCACCATAAAACTTTCCCTGAGCTTAAAAATAGCAGTTGTGATACTCAAGGGCAGGAAGTCCCTATGTAAATTTTGTTCCTAATGCAGATGTGAATCATTCTGCTGCAGCAACCGTTGTCCAGTCAGTGTCATCACTTCTGAGGGCAGTGTGGTATACGTGAATGTTTACATGAGGTGTTCCTCTTTAGGCCCCTGGTTACACCTCAGAGAGAGGAAAGTGGTGGACTGTAGTTAGGAAGCCTAAACTAAAGATACATTCTATGTTTGTCTCAAATAGCCTTTTTTAGTTCCACACAAATATAGATATATTTAGCTGTGTTTTTGTAAACCAAAATATAAGCACCACCAAAAAAATTGACAAATCTCCATGATGAAACGTTTAATACTATGATATTCATCTATAATGACAGAAATAGTTTTTTTTTTAATATAAAAAAAAAAAAAAAGATGTATCAACTGATCTTCAGTTCTACTAGACGGAACAGTCGTGTCATTAGTCAAAGCCAACTGGCAGAGTCTAGCCAGAATCACGACAACACATATAACATCACTTCTCTGCTCTGCCATCTGGCCATACTGTACTACTGTTCTGTTTCCAAGGTGACTCAAAAAGGTGATTCATTTAATCATATAAATCTCTAAATCTCTGTGTTCGTTATTCTCCTCAACACTTCTGTCAAGACGCAATATCATGCAATCTCTAATACAGTCTTCTCTGACTTTCCTCTGCAGCTGAAATGTTAAAAGTGGATATTAAAAAAAGTGAAGAGCAGAAAAAGCACCATCTTACCTGTTGAAACCAAATGACTTTTTGATGTAAAAAATAATTATCCTTTACATTTCTCTGTTCTCAGTCTGAGAACAGAGAAGGATGCTTGGAACAGATAGCCTACCACCCACACACAGCAAAGTTTGGTCCGACTCGGGGAAGTTAGAGAACTAACCTTGCCCCCTGGTGTTGGGGTGTGAAATAGATTGTGGATAAAATGTCCACTCTTGTTTGTAATGTAATATCCGTGTGCATTTAGAGTTATAAATTATAAGAAGACATCTGGCACTAGTTATAAAAGCTATATCCCAATTTATATAAAAATATTCAAGTGCAAGGAATCATTTGCACAGTCAGCTCTGGTTGCTGAATTAAGAATCTAAAATACAAATGGTAAAGTTGTAGTTTGATGACACTTTCAAATAAACTAAACTAAACACTCAGATTGACCACCATTCATGAAGAAATATTGAAAGTTTGTCTTTCTGTGTGTGTTTGAAAGTTTGTCTTTCTGTGTGTGTCCTCTCCTTTGTGGAGTTAGTTTGAAGAAGGCTCCCCCTCTTGTGACCGGATGAGTGAGAAAGAGAGGAGCGAAAGAGAGGAGCACTGGTACACCATTGGCTGTGCCTCAGCACGACTCTTCCTCTCAAATCCCCATCTGTACTGGCTAAAATTCTCAGTTTAGAAGTAGAGGGGGGAGACAAGGAGGGATAGGACAGGAGACACAGTAGGGAGTGTGGACGTAGGGATAGGACAGGAAACACAGAAGGGAGTGTGGACGTAGGGATAGGACAGGAGACACAGTAGGAAGTGTGGATGTAGGGATAGGACAGGAGACACAGTAGGAAGTGTGGACGTAGGGATAGGACAGGAGACACAGTAGGAAGTGTGGACATAGGGATCGATCTGGTACAGGATGGATTAATATTGGGGGGAAAATGTGCACTACTTTCCACCACAGCCCTCTGTGAGAAATAGGGTGGCATTGATTTACCCTATGAGAGAGACTAATCAGATAAACAACCTGTTCTGTGCTAATGTTATGGGGGGTTTACCACATTGTTCTCATTTTAACACTTGTCACAATGCCACTTTAATAACAGCAATAACTCATAAATTACTTTGCAATGAAATGTTGGCATTCACTCTCAGGTGCCAACTCTGCCCCAAAGGGACAGTTCCACATTCCTTAGTAGGTTCGGTGCATTCCACAGCTATAACATCAGCCCTGTTGTAGCACATGATTCCTGGTCATCACATGATAGTGTTCTACATCATCACACTAAATCACTGTCTGTCAGTGCTCATGCCCAGGCCCTCTGACTGACTGACAAGATGGACACAGGACTTCATCACACTTTAGTGTGATATCCAAGCACTCTTATTGGGGTCTGCTGCAATCTCTCCAGGGGGTCTGTATGTGTTACCTGGGTGGATGTGTATGGCATCTGATGACACCAGTTGACATCTATGTGTAATTCATTTGTGAGGCATCAGAAATGTTTGTTTGAAACTGTATCTCCTTGTTCTCACCATGTAGTCCCAGATCAGCCCATTCCGAGGGGGAGGATGAATCCAGATGAGGGAGTAGCCCCTCCTCCAGCCGGGCAGAACAGTAGCACACCCAGTGAGTGGCCCACTACCCCTAATATCTCTACCAGTAGTATTAATACTGTTATTGTACATGACAGGAATGATACGTTTAATAATGGTCACGTAATTACAATGTGTTATATGATTTAATGCAGCGATTCTCAATTGGTGGGTCGTGACCCAAATTTGAAAATATACCCCACTCTGAACTTTAAACGACTTAAACCAGGTAGAAAGTGTGTATACATGATAATGAACTTATTTTTTTTTTTTATGTGTCTTCAATCAAAGTATTTTCAATATAGAGCTATTAGCAGCACTATGGTTGATTTTGTGGTTTTAAACCAGTGAGTTTATTAACATTCTTCATCAAGAATATAGGCTAAATGTAATTATTGACAATGAAAGAGGTGGGAATGTTGTTCCCTTGTCATATAATTGGTACATTTAATATCAATATAGCATTACAAATATTTTTTCAGATTGTATTTTGGATATTCTTTTTAGCAATGCGAATATTGGGTCACGACTGAGACCACCTGGTTCATTTTGGGTCCCGAAGCAAAACCAGTCATAACATATTAATAATTGAGCAAACAATTCAATTTATATAACACTTTTCAAAGCACTTTACATTGTAAAGGGGCATATGCTACACCTCCAAGTGAAGAGACATTATAGACATTAACTATGAATTACTAATGTCATTCAACCTTTCTAATTGTTTTCCTCTGTGCAGATTGGCTGATCATTGTGGGAGTGGTTGTGGCAGTGGGCGCTATTCTCCTCGTGTGTGCTGCTGTGGCCAAGCGGAAGAGGTATGTCTCATTTCACCAATTGGAATTCTCTTTTTCTCTCTGTTAGCAGGTGACAGTATCCTAATGTGTTCACTGCTCCCTCTCTCCCTCTCTCTCCCTCTCTCTCTCTCTCTCTCTCTCTCTCTCTCTCTCTCTCTCCTCTCTCTCTCTCTCTCTCTCTCTCTCTCTCTCTCTCTCTCTCTCTCTGTGTGTTAGCTGGTGACAGTATCCTAATGTGTTCACTGCTCTCTCTCTCTCTCTCTCTCTCTCTCTCTCTCTCTCTCTCTCTCTGTTAGCTGGTGACAGTATCCTAATGTGTTAACTGCTCTCTGTCTGTTAGCTGGTGTGGTCAGCAGCAGACCCTGATGATCACCAACAATGATGGGAGTGACGGTAACGGGGCGGCGGCGTCCGTGGCTAGCTCCCGCGCGCAGGAGAGAGAGCAGGAGATGGTGACCCTGATGAACAAAGAGAAGATCCAGGAAAACGGAAACACAGAGGAGTTCACCGTTATCACACTTGATGAGTCCCCAGAGAAAGGACAGCTGGCGTGAGAGAGGAGAGGAGGATGAGAAGGAGGAGAAGAGAGAGGGGGATAGAAGGATAGAGAGAGATGAATAGCTATGGGGGTGCTGACACTGGGGCAGGACTAGAGAGAGACCAGCTGGGGATGGAGATGGACACTTTGGCCTGGTACCAAGCAGACAGACACACTGAACATGCCAGCTGGGGTTGGGGTGGGGGCTTTGTAAATGGAAGGGATGGTTAATACTCTATTGAATCTGTTTGTTGTTGTATTCTGGGGAGAATGGCTGGTTTGTCCCACCTTGTTACTAAGGTACAACATCAGAAACTGGCCCTATCCTTTGCCTGTCTCTCAGATGGGTTAGCTATACCGTTAAAGCCAAGAGAAGCAGACTGATACATTCTACCCTGCTATGTCAAGTATGTGGTTAGGATTGGATAGTTTCCAGACCTAGGGTTTGGACTAAGTCTCTACAGCAGGGGTGTCAACCCAGGCTTCATACACACATTGTGATATTCACCTCTGCCTTTCAATCAGTGTCTAATCTTAATCTGAGAAGATCAGTCTGGCCTCTCTAGCCAATCAGTAACATGAATTAATCAATTTAGTGACAGGTTGAAATGAAACCCTGCAGACCATGTGACACTGGAGGACTGGAGGTTGACATCCCTGCTCTATGCCGGGTTCTGAGTGGAGATGTGTGTGTGTGTGTGTGTGTGTGTGTGCGTGGTGAGTATGTGTTTGTATATGTATGTACCGTATACGTACAGTACCAGTCAAAAGTTTGGACACACCTACTCATTCCAGGGTTTTTCTTTATTTTTACGATGTTCTACATTATAGAATAATAGTGAAGGCATCAAAACTATGAAATAACACACATGGAATCATGTAGTAACCAAAAAAGTGTTAAACAATTTTATATTTGAGATTATTCAAAGTAGCCACCCTTTGTCTTGATGACAGCTTTGCACACTCTTGGCATTCTCTCAACAAGCTTCATGAGGAATGCTTTTCCAACAGTCTTGAAGGAGTTCCCACATATGATGAGCACTTGTTGGCTGCTTTTCCTTCACTCTGCGGTCCAAATCATCCCAATCCATCTCAATTGGGTTGAGGTCGGGTGATTGTGGAGGCCAGGTCATCTGATGCAGCACTCCATCACTCTCCTTCTTGGTCAAATAGCCCTTACACAGTCTGAAGGTGTGTGGGTCATTGTCCTGTTGAAAAACAGATGACAGTCTCACTAAGCACAAACCAGATGGGATGGCGTATCGCTGCAGAATGCTGTGGTAGCCAAGCTGGTTAAGTGTGCCTTGAATTCTAAATAAGTCACAGACAGTGTCACCAGCAAAGCACCCCCACACCATTACACCTCCTCCTCCATGCTGCCCGGTGGGAACCACACATGCGGAGATCATCCGTTCACCTACTCTGTATCTCACAAAGACACAGCGGTTGAAACCAAAAATCTCCCATTTGGAGTCATCAGACCAAAGGACAGATTTCCACCGGTCTGATTTCCATTGCTCGTGTTTCTTGGCCCAAGCAAGTCTCTTCTTATTATTGGTGTCCTTTAGTGGTGGTTTCTTTGCAGCAATTCGACCATGCAGACCTGATTCACGCAGGCTCCTCTGACCAGTTGATGTTGAGATGTGTCTGTTACTTGAACTCTGTGAAGCATTTATTTGGGTTGCAATCTGAGGTGCAGTTAACTCTAATGAACTTATCCTCTGCAGCAGAGGTAACTCTGGGTCTTCCTTTCCTGTGGCGGTCCCCATGAGAGCCAGTTTCATCATAGCGCTTTATGTTTTTTGCGACTGCACTTGAAGAAACGTTCAAGGTTCTTGAGATTTTCCGTATTGACTGACCTTCATGTTTTAAAGTAATGATGGACTGTCATTTCTCTTTGCTTATTTGAGTTGTTCTTGCCATAATATGGACTTGGTCTTTTACCAAATTGGCTATCTCCTGTATACCACCCCTACCTTGTCACAACACAACTGATTTGCTCAAACTCATTAAGAAGGAAAGAAATTCCACAAATTAACTTTTAAGACGGCACACCTGTTAATTGAAATGCATTCAAGGTTACTACCTCATGAAGCTGGTTGAGAGAATGCCAAGAGTGTGTAAAGCTGTCATCAAGGCAAAGGGTGGCTACCTTGAAGAATCTCAAATATAAAATATATTTTGATTTGCTTAGCACTTGTTGGGTTACTACATGATTCCATATGTGTTATTTCATAGTTTTGATGTCTTCACTATTATTCTACAATGTAGAAAATAGTAAAAAATAAAGAAAAACCCTTGAAATTAGTAGGTGTTCTAAACCTTTTTACTGGTACTGTATGTGTGAGGGGAAAGAGGAAGGGGGTTGATAAAGTCACAGGGGTGTGGGTGGGAGTTTTTAAAGGTGGGGGATGGGGGACTTGGTTTGCCCACCAAGACCAGTAAGGGGTTGAGGCTGAGGTTGAGGTTGATGTTGAGGTTGAGGTTGAGGTTGAGGTTGAGGTTTAGGGGAAGGACATTGTTGATAGTGTGTCACTTGAAGCTTTTGAGGCATTGCTTTGGAAAAACAGACGCACAGAAATGTGAAAACTAAACAGACGTGGTTGAATAATTTGGAGGGATGTTAATGGGATTAATATTGTTTCTTATGGATGGGTAAATGTGGGACGTTGTGGCCCACTGATGTCTATGGTCTTTATCATTCCCCCATTTTCTTTCAATATTAACCTTGTGTATATTTCACCCTGTTTCCTGTGGATTGGGATTTTGTTTTTTACAAGAAAACACAACGAGATGCTACTATTTTAATTTATGCAGTTTGGAATTTTCTAGCTATTTTTGCTTCTGTATATAATGTAAACGTGTTTTACAAATGCCTTAGCAACAGTTGTCATTCATATTTTTTGGCATTCACATGCCCTTTAATGAATAAGGAAAAGCTGTCATATTTGAGAATTATTTAATCAAATTCAGAACCTATGGTCTTAAATTGTGATAGAACATTTGCAATAGTCAGAGTAGATATTGTATGAATCAACTTCATGTATAGTATTCAAAACTGTGCATTTTAAATACCTTTTATATGATGTCAATTAACATGGTCTGTATAAATAAAAAAGTCGTGTTGAGTAGCGCACAGGATTGTATGGAATATCAATAGCTTTCGGAGAATAGATGCAGTGGTCATATTTGGATGTTGGGGTACACATGTATCACATGCATTTACCATATAAGTCACCTATTGCTATATTGACAGAAACTTGCAGTTTACAGTGACCTAGCATTGTGTAGTAATGCATTACACTGTGATGGAACCTAAAAACAGTTGTTAACAGCCAACATAACAACCAATCCTGAGGAGTGACTGCGTCCCTCACTGACAAAATAATTGATCTGGACACACTGACAACAACAAATGATCTGGACACAGATATTACAGTAATGGGCAGAACAGTAGAACTCCATGCACAACTCTGGATTCTACTTCTTGTGTTCCTTTGATAACAAAGGAGAGGAGACCCTCATATTTCTGTGGCTCTCCCTGTTATGTGCACCAGAGAGAGGGAAGGTGATGAATGTCTCTGGCTAGGAGCTCTGTGTCGCCATACTGATCCAGGTCCCAATGTGCCCATTGCTCCACACGTCCAAGTGATTACATATTCATCTTTATTGCTGACTCTTTCTTTCATAGGCAAATCACTTCTATGTGTGATTGTCTGTGGGTATTATGAATCATCCCATGTCAGTTTGACAGTATATTTGTCATGCCTTTTCAGTAAGGGGCATGACAAATGTGTGTCCCAGCTTTTTTGAGTGGCTTTTTGCCTCTGTTTTTTTTGCTCTCAGATCTTGCTCTCATTTTATTCACTTTGAGGAAAGTTAGAAAATGTATTAGGGTAGGAGTGTGTAATGATGAATTAACAAAACATTGTTAATGAAAAAATATGTGTGAAGTAATGGGTGAAATAAATGTGTATAGAGGAAATGTTTGATTGTGGTGTTCATTCAGCGGGAGGGAGGGGGAGAGAGGGGGAGAGGGAGAGAGGGAGAGAGGGAGAGAAAGAGGCAAAAGGGGTAGTGCGTTGCTCAGGAGCAGGAGAAAGTATGGTTGCCATGGTATCCTAGTCATTATGCAAAGTATGTTTTAACCCAGGCAAGATAGAGAGACAGCAAAACAAAGACAGCCATTTTGAAAGCTGGAAAAGCTTCTTGTATGTGTCTGTGATTCAATCTCGAAAGGTTAAACCAGTCTCATATAGCTACTTTAGCTAAGCCATCCAATATTCTAAAATAGGTACAGAAAGTATTAACACCCCTTGACTTTTTCCACTATTTGTTGTGTTACAAATATGGGATTAAAAATGATTTAATTGTCATTTTTTGTCAAAGATCTACACAAAATACTTTCTAATGTCATAGTGGAAGAAACATTTTAGATTTTCATTTATTAATGGAAAATAAAACACTAATATATGTTTTATTAGATAAGTATTCAACCCCCTGAGTCAATACATGTTAGAATCACCTTTGGCAGCGATTACAGCTGTGAGTCTTTCTGGGAAAGTCTCTAAGAGATTTGCACACCTGGATTGAACAATATCTGCCCATTACTCATTTTAAAAAATCATCATGCTCTGTCAAATTGATTGTTGATCATTGCTAGACAGCCATTGCCAAGTCTTGCCATGTATTTTCAAGCAGATTTAAGTCTAAACTGTAACTATGGCACTCAGGAACATTCAATGTCATCTAGGTAAGCAACTCCAGGTTAGACTTGGCCTTGTGTTTTAGGTTATTGTCCTGCTGAAAAGTGAATTTATCTCCCAGTGTCTTTTGGAAAGCAGACTGAACCAGATTTTCTTTTAGGATTTTGCATGTTCTTAGCTCTATTCCATTTATTTTAGTCGTAAAAAACTCCCTAGGCATTACCGATGACAAGCATACCCATAACATGATGCAGCCACCACCATTCTTGAAAATATGAAGAGTGATACTCAGTGATGTGTCATGTTGAAT